GGGGGAGGAAGAATAGAGTGCATTTAATTTACTAAAAAAGGTATTTATATCTAGACTAGTACTAACGTAATAGGACCTAGCTAAAGAAACGTTATTAGAAGCGGACTATTTAGGATACGCTCTTAGGGGTTGCTTATCGCAAAAAGTTAGGGGCGTCTAGCGCCTAGTTGCTTACCACTCTATAGCACTAATGCTAGAGAGACAAAACTACACTATATATAATAAGGAATTACTAGCTATTGTTAAGTATCTTAAAAGCTAGTTAGCAGAATTACAGAGCGTTTATAAACTGTTTATAATATTCACAGACTATAAAAACCTAGAGTATTTTACTAGCCTTTAAAGCTTAAGCAAGCAATAGTGCTACTAGGCAGAGGAACTTTCTAAATACTAGTATATCCTACAGTACAGACCTAGCTGTCTTGTAGGACAACCTAATACCTTAAGCAGGCGACTACAAGACTTAAACCCCTCTAAAGCAACACTATAGTTAGTAATGCGCCCTAAATTAATTTAGGTTATAGTGTTAGAAGTAGAGGAGGCGTCTAAGTTACTAAAGGGCGCTAGCCTTTTCGCTAACCTACACATGTAGACACTATAGGACAAAGCAGTATTAGAAGATAAGACATACTAAGTGCGTCTTAATGCAGTTTAGAAAGGCGCTAGGTCTTTCCTAGTTCTAGCTAATACAAAGCAACAGATTAGGGACTATATAATTAGCGCACATGGCACTTTACTTTAGAGGGGCGTTATTTAGTTACTAATATAGGAACCCCTTATAACTACTATTATACAGCGAGCATATGAATTAGGTTTAGTAGGATATCTAGAAAAGAACATAACATTTCAAATACTGCGCCGTGACTATTATTAGGATAGAATATTAGGAGATGTTACGTAGTATATTTAGAACTGCTATTGTTATAGTGCTTATATCTCCTAGAAGCGCTAACAGGGTCTGTTATAACCTATACTAGTTGCGTTACGATACTAGTCCTAAATATCTATAGATTTTATGGTTAACCTACCTGCAAAAGATAATAGCAAACCTTAGTACCTATTAGTTATTACTAACAGATTATCTAAATATGTTTAGCTTAAAGCAATAGTCTCTATAGCAGCTAATTATTGTGCAAGGATCTTCTAGGACAACTAGTGGTAGTTCTAGGGCTTCCTATCCTCTATTATTACTAACTAAGGTTCTAACTAGTTAGGATCTTTCTAGACAACGTTGTGCTAGATAATAAAGATAAACTAGTTACTATCTACTACATACCACCCTTAGACAGACGGCGGGACAGAGCGGGCAAACTAAGAAGTGTAGGTGGTGCTGCGCATAATAGTATGCTTTAAGCAGACTAACTAGCCTAACTGCCTACTAGCCTGCTAACTTACACTTAATAATAGGGACTCTAGTATAACTAGTGTTAGCCTAAATCTACTTTTAAATAGGTATACTACAGACACGCTATAAAAGTTAATATTACTACTAGTAAAGCCTAAGAATCCTTGTAGAGAGGCTGTAGTGTTCTTATCGCACCTACAGAGGGGTGCAGAGCTAGCGTAAGCTACTATCGCGTTCTAATAGCAATAATAACAGGAAATAATAAACTAGTCCTAACGCCTAGCTAAAAAGTTCCTAAAAGGCAATATAGTTTAGTTTGCAATGCGTAATATAAAGACAAACTAACTAAGCAAAAAGTTTAACTAGCTATAGGTAAAGTACAAGGTAATAGAAGTTCCTACTCTACTTATAGTAGTATTAGACTTACTAGGAAGCTTGTATAAGACTGTGCATGTGGACCTGCTAGAGAGAGCTGCTAATAACCTACTACTAAGCTAGAAGCTTTAGGACTCACAACTAGGTCTAACAGTTACTCTAGAAAATAAAGATGCAACGCTAGATAAATAGGAAGTAGAAGAGATCCTTTGTGCAAAGAATGCAAGAGGAAAAGGGAAGCGTTAAGTCCATAGTAAAATAGAAGGGTTATATTAATCTAACATAGCACCTACTAGAGGTAGTATAGGATACTAAGGCTCTAGACAAGTTTAAGGAATAGTATAGGGATATTATATATAATAATAGCCTAATACGTATAAAAGCTAGGAAGTAAGGGTAGAAGAAAACTAGAATAATAACTTAGATCTTTATTATAATTAAGAAGTAGAAAGGTATTAAAGATATCTTTTATTTATCCTTATAACACTCTAAGTAAGTGCCCTACTACTAAAGTTTTTATAAGGTAGCTAATAATTAGGTAGTAGTGTCTATACTATTACTCTCTATAACTAACCCCCCTTTAGCCCCCCCTAAACTATTGTTTATATTATTCTAATACCTCTATATCTCTTAGTAATAGTAGTAACGCTTACGCGCAGCGTAAGTAGGGGAGGACTTAGTTAATAAGTATAAGCAATAGTAGTAGTAGCAGCAGGAGGAGAGTAGTGCTTTAATAGTTTGCTAGCGCGTAGTACCCTAGGCCTAAAGAAAGTAAATATTAGAATATATAAAAGGGAACAAAGGGAAATTAATACTAACAATAAGAGTCTTAATACTATAGGTAGTGCGCTTAGCAGCGCTCTTAAGCCTATTAATGCAAAGGTTAGTTTAGGCCTAGGTCTTATTTATACGCTAGTTAATACGCTAGAAGGCAATACTAGTAGTAGTAGTAAGCTATATAATATTATTGTTGCTATAACTACTACGCAAAGGTATAATAGTAGACTAAAGTAGAAATACTAGAGTACTAGTAGTAGATAGAATAATAGTACTAAGCTAATACTAATTATAGGCGCGTAAGTAGGCAGTAGTGTAAAGGGCTTAGGCTTATGCCTAAGCCTAGGTCTAACACAAGATAGACTAAGTCTAACACCACTACTAAGCGAACACACTAGACACCTATAAAAAGGCGTAGAGGGCTTATCTCTCCTTTAAGATACTAAATACTATTATTAACGCTTATTATATTCTCCCTTAAGGCTAGTCTATAATATTTTAGTATCTTCTTCTAAACATACTATAATAGTAATAAGAGATAGACGCGCTAGATATTTAGAATAACTAGGTGCAACCTAATATAGTAGAAAGGCTAATACAATAGGTCTATAGATTAATAGAATAACAGGCTTAAGACTCTACTATAATAGCTATACTACGTTAATAGAACAAGGAAATACGTAATTAGATTCTATCCTAACCCTCCTCTAAGCCCGCTAGGTTTAATAATATGCTACCTCCGCCCTCCCCTACCTTACGTTATAAACCCTTCCTAGTTAGCTTGCTATATAATAGCACTAAGGCAAACTTCTCCTCCTAGCAAATAACTATAGAGTTTAAACTGCGTGCAGATAAGGTCTTTATTAGGGATAAGGAGGCGAGATTTATATATATTTAGTCCTAGTTATTACCTATAGTCTAGCGCGCTATAGCACTATACTTTAAGGATAGTGCATGTAAGCATTAGGATATAAGCAGGTTTCTAGACTACCTAGCGTTCTATTATAGTAACTATTACAGGTAGGAGCGCGCCTAAGTCGCGTTAGAACACTTATATTAGGGCTAAAATTAGCCTTTTATAGAGTTCTTTATAAATTTTATATAGCTCCTTATATAGTTAGGAGGTTTACACTAGGATAATAAATAGAAGCTTTTATAACTTTAGCGATCTCTTAATAGTTATATACGCTTAGTTCCTTGGCACTTTAGTAATCTCTTAACAGTCGCATGCGCTTAGTTTCCCTTAATAGGGGAGTCTCTAGGATAAACTACAACGCAGCTGTGGAGGAATACAAGATAATTGTAGTAGATATTAAAATAGCCTCTCTAGAACTAGGTTTTCTCTAGGCTAGTAAGTCTAAGGAACCCTAGTAGAAGTCTAACTTAGATTAGGATAGCGATATAAATATAGTAGAAGTAGCAGCCTTGTTAAGTGCACCTACTAAACTACTAACATTACGCCCTAATTAGATCCCACAGGACCTGTTTAATACACAGAAACTAGCGAGGGTCTGCACCTAGTGTGGACAGGGCGGTTATTTTGTGCGTGCATGCCCTAATGCCCTGTTGCTGCAACTAGTGGGTGTTAAGGCAGTTGCAGCATTAGCAAGCGGCCCTAATTTAGGAAACTAGCCGCCCCTAACCTTAGGCTAAGTTAGGGGTATAAGGAGGACACTATAACAGAGGAATTATTAATAGCAGAGGCTATTAAGTGTCCTCTAGATATTAAGG